ACTGTATCTTCCTACATAAAGGGAGAATGGTGTTTAAGAATTTGATTTGATGCGGTTGTAAAAGACTGGCTTTCATTGCCTCCTTTTGAACCAAATTCCGAAATACCTATAGGCCTACATATTAAAGGGCATTCAATTCCCTAAATTCTACTTATTTACCAGGCTATTAAGGCCTTATCCAGCCAGTTCCAGCTGAGGTTTCTAGATGCTTAAGTTCAAAGGCCATTAGTCTACTTATTCTATATAAAATATTCTGCACAAAAGTTTGGTGCCACTTGCTTTTTCATGAAACTCAGGAAGGCAATGATTTCTAGGTGTTCCAGGCAAGACCGCAAGCTGATGTTGATTTGTGTATAGCTAGGTGAAAATATTTGAATTTCTCATTCTTTGTTGTTACATTATTAGGTGGGTTAGTTATTTCTTAATGCTAAACCTGCCCTTCACCAAAGTGCAGCTGCCACCCTCCTGACCAAAAAAGAACCCACTGCTTGATTGTGTTTTTCTTAGAGAAGTGATAATCATATCGACTGCATGCTAAGATAACCACATGCACCATCCAATTAAGCAGTTCAGGATTTGGCCCATTCAAACTTTCCATCATTTTGATACTGAAGAGAGTGGAAAGAAAGAAAGGAAAAAAAGTGATAGTTTGCATAATGTCATTAACAAAACCGACACATTTTCTCACACCTTTAAAATCATTGCAGCCATGTTTTTTGACTCACCATAACTCCAGACATCACTTTGATGGGTATAAATGCGGTGTAAAATTGACTCCAAGGCCATCCATTTAATCGGAACCTAGAAAGATTTACAATTAAGCTATACGTCCGTATCCCAAATCTAGAAGTAAGTCTACTACAAATCACAGTGAATTTTTCAAACCAACAATTTGGTTGTAGGCTGAAAATCTCAGATATATGGTAAGCAGCCTGTGATTCTCAGGGAGTTATCATCATTTTGGTGGTTCACTCAGAGCCTGAGAACTTGCATAGTATTTTGCTTAACAAGAATATTTCTAATGATTTAATTTAAAAAAAATCATGCTTTTAAAAAAAACCCAAACTTTCTCATATCGCAACAGGATACAAATTCACTTCCAGGCAGTACAATGAAGTTCACTCTGAACTCATATGGTTTCCATTTATGGTCTCCATAACATTCACAAGCAGCTTCTCCGCCATGAAGACGTGTTGAAGAGAGGCCTTGCTTCAGATACACAGTATTCCCATTCTGTTCATAAACTATACCTCATTACTGGTTTTGGCTACACTACAGAATTCAGACAAGCTTTATGTTTTTCAAAACTAATCTGGCCTTTTCCCAGACATAATGGGTGGTATTTTCAAGTGTTCATCATTGGACTACGATTCTCTTTCCATTAAAAAGTTAGTGGACTCTCACCAGTTTCCAAGGGAGCACTTTTGAAAATACCACACATTGCTCCTCTCATTATTCAAATCAAGATTTATACACAAGTACAAACAACTTCAGCAGCTAGTAAGCACATAATGGATGGTTCTCTGATCCTTCTTACTTTGCCTCCTTCTGCATGGTACTCTTTCTCATCAGCACCAAGTAGTTTTGCCAATCCAAAGTCCGTGATCTTCACATGTTGAGGAGTTTTAACAAGGACATTTCTGGCAGCCAGGTCACGATGTACCAAGCGACGTTCTTCCAAGTAGTTCATGCCCTACAATATACACGATAAGCAAATGTCATTCCTCCCTCATACACACTCTGTCAGAAAGTAGTAGAGGATTTATACCTGGTGTAATGGGTGAATGCAGCTTTGACTGGGATCTAGCCCAAGGAATCTACATACAAGAAGGTACTTTCAAGGTAATGGGCCAAATTCTTTCCCTCTCATACTTCTGCAATGCTCCTGACCTCAGTGCAACACAGAACAAAACTTGGCCAGCATGTTTAACAAAAATATATGTTAAACTCACATATACTGCATATATAAAATAACAAATTGGAAGAAGTGTTCAATCAACCAAGTAACAGTGTCAAGGGGTTGATTCTATGCCACCTCTTTATGCACTCTGATTTGTAACTGCTAAAATCTGGGCTCGCTCTTTCAAAAGTGATGGGGAAAAATATTTTTTGTGGCTGAGTTCAGCATTCTTTCTGCATTCAACTTCCTTCTGCAACATTATGCTCTGCCAGTTTCAGTACCTCCTGTGACTAGGTTACATTTGACATGTATATAAATATATTTGATACAACTTCTTTTTGGAGGAAAATAGAAGTTCTTTTTCCATATGGGCTGAAAAGCTTTTTAGAAAGATAAAAGGCTTATTGTGCTCGTCTTGCTTTGTTATGCCCTGAACCTACCATCTGTATTTCTGACCACAGAACTTTTCTCCTGAAGGGAAACAAAAAGGCAAGTTTTCTAGGGTTCTCTCAGGACCCTTTTTAAGAACTACAATCATTTATTGGTGG